ATATATATAGAGAGAGAGAGAGAGAGAGAGAGAGAGAGAGAGGAGGGAGAGAGAGAGAAAGTACAGAGTTTCCTCTGGTTTTGAGAAAATATCTCAAATACTTGATTTTTAGGTAATTATTAAAGTCTTAGGAATGCATAAAATCACTCAGAAGAGAGTGCAGTTAGAAAAGTGCCTAGGACCTCACCCTTGAGAGACTGGGATCATTTAATATCCAGAGAAAGGAAATAATGACCAGATAAAGAGCAGGACAAAAATCTAGGCTATCACAAAAACCAAGGAAATACATTAAGAGAGGGTGAAAACAAGAAAGTCCTCTCATCTTTCCATGTTTTTTTCCTGGTCTCAAAGATCTTCTTATCTGTCTTCATGGCTTCATTATGATTTTAATGAGCATTTCAGTCAATGCCTTAATCAACTTGATCTACAAAACATTTTTTTTCTTCTAAAGATCTTAGACACAGGTTATATTTCACCCCACACCTATCACCAAGTTCTTATTGTTTGTACTATATATATTTGGGGGGCACTTATTATACATTTCTTTACATTATGTTGGATTCTTCATAATTGTGTCTTACCTTTGCCACAGTTTCTTTTCTTGGTGTCTTTTCTTGTTTAAGTCACACAATGTACCCAGCATTGTTCTATGGCAGCTGAAGCTATTACAGGGAACAGGGTGGAGAAGAGTACCATTAACCAGGATACAGAATGAGGTTCCTTTGGGAAAGATGATTGGTTTGGGGTTAAACATTGAATAAATCAGGACTCCACTGCAAAGAAGAGAAATCCATATCAAACTTCTTAGTCAACTTGAGAAGTTTATGAAACCAAATGGTGGGAAAGTATCTTGAAGTCTAATTCTAATGCATGGGGGCTTGCTCCCTGTCTCCCTCTTTCCTCTCTGTCTCCCTCTTTCCTTCTTCATCACTCTGCCTCTCCACTTGGCTTCTGCCTATAGTTTTAAATTATCACTGTGAAGTCTGGTTTCTCGCCATAATTCCATTGAGCTTCTCTGAAGGCAGAGACTGGTGTGCACATTCAACCCCTGTAAGAATCAACAAGGACTAAATCCAGGCTCCAGCCCTTCACAGTGTGTCTTCAACATGGCAGTCCATGGTCCATTTTGCCTTTTTTTTTTTTTTTTAAAGAGAGAGTGAGAGAGGAGGGAGAGAGAGAGAGAGAATTTTTTAATATTTATTTTTTAGTTCTCGGCAGACACAACATCTTTGTTGGTATGTGGTGCTGAGGATCGAACCCGGGCCGCACGCATGCCAGGCGAGCGCGCTACCGCTTGAGCCACATCCCCAGCCCATGCCTTTTTTTTTTAACCTCAATATGTTTCTTCAGTTTTATTAGATGCTAATTATATTTTATTTCATCTTATGTGTTCAGGCTGCCAGTAACACCTACTGAGGCTTACTTTGTGCATGACACAGTACTAAGCACTGAGGATCTATGAAAGCAGTCACCTTTCCTCAGGGTTCAATCAGAAGAGTGACAGGAACAATAGTTATTTGATAAATCTAGATGAGAACTGTTCATCTCAATCTCTGCATCCCAGGCCCCCCAAACCTCTTCCTTTTGATCCTATGGGGCCCCACACAATTTGTAAATGGTCATGGTCATTCTTCTCCTACCATATGGTGACCTCTAACTCTTCCATCATTATTTGAGGTTCCCATCACATCCCACTGTCACCAGGTTGATATGGCCTCAGCCATAGCCAAGGAACATTTCTTTTGCTCCAAGTGAACAATTGAAGTTCAGGCTCATTCTTCCAAGGCCCTCCAAGTGAAGGGACATATCTTCCAGCAGTTCTAGACTCTAAAGAAAGAGAACTACCTCTTGCACTAATGTTTAAAAAATTCCAGGAAAGAGACTGAATAGGAATCAAATGTTAGTCTCTCTCTCTCTCTCTCTCTCTCTCTCTCTCTCTCACACACACACACACACACACACACACACACACACACACACACACTTGTGTACTTGTGCTGTTCTCTATTTCTAATTACTAAATAACTCTACCCCTGACCCGCAGTTCTTAGAGCACTCTGAAGATACATTGCTTCATTTGCTTTCTGTTACCACTCTGCTGCCAATGGCTCAGGAACAAATCTACTGAAACTAACTGAACATTATAACACTGTTAAAATGTCTAGGAGCTAGGCCAAGAGATCTCCTAGAAACCTCCACCTTTACTGCCCTGAGCCTTCTGTCCCGTACCAATGTCTTGCACAGAGCTCCTGTGCCACCTCTCTCCCCTTCCCCAGGTCTGTCATTCACTTGTGAGTGCTTACTCTAAAGAGGACTCCTGGCTTTCTTCACTGCTCAGGAGTGTGGGGCCTGGAGTGAGGGAGGGTAATGGAAGCTTAGCCCCTCAAAGGAGTCCACAGCAGAGAAATAATTTAGGCCTATGTCCCTGAGGCTTCCTCTGCATTTATGGATAACCATTTGAACTCAGAGTCATTTTCCTAAAACAAACAACCAAAGAATGGGGTGGGAAGGTGCCCAGGAGAGTTCATAGAAGTCCATGTGGCCCGCATACCTCATCTGGAGTTCTAAACGAGCTGTAGAACCTACCTAACAGTATACTTCGGTTTCTATGGGGCAATGAGTTCTGAGTTCCAGTAGTGAACATACCTCTGCCACCACCATCAGTAGGAACAGCTCGACTTTCACCGGGTGCAGCCTGCCAACTCAATGGTAGGGAAACATCTAGGAAAACTGGAGAGTTCTGTTTTAAGTAGGAATGGGGAGAGCAGGAAGGGTGTGGCTCTGGGAGGTGAAGCAAAGCTGTGGAGAGAGGAGAGTTCAGAGGGGCGAAGGGTCAAAGAGCCTGGCTGCCTCTGGATTTTGGTTTCTACAGAGACAGGTTGAACTCTGCCTAGAAGAAGCTAGACCCTGGTGTCCCCTGTGGAATTGGGACTTTTAACAGAAGAGAACTTGAGATTTTGGAAAACCTGTCAAACCTGCCAGTGGTTTTCCATCTAAGATCAAAAAAGGAGTTAAAAAAAAAAAACTTTCAAAAGCGAAAGTTAGATCAGTATTGTGGTCAGTACTATTCTTAATGTTAATGAGGTCAAACCTAATCGACACATTATATCATAACTTCTGAAACATGCAGCTCACAGAAATATTTAATGTTTGTCAGTCCCATTAGATACTGCCCTTTTGTGGACTTGAAAGAACCCTTAACCTCCATCTGTGTCTAATTTCTCTTCCTTATTTGCACTTTAATTAATGTTTGGTTTGTGTGGAGTCAAGATAAATTTACTTAAATTTTTAAAAAATTAAGTGTGCAGAAGAGCATGAGTCTATTTTCTTGAATCTGTTCAGAAGGATACAGAAAACAAATGTTTTTCTAGATAGTAAAAGGAGGTGTGAAAAAACTGTCTATAATCATTTAATAATCCTTGTCTGGAGACTCAAAAGTAATTAATATAAATGACAATAGTAATATGAAAGTGTTTCTTTTTATTGAAAGTAGGAATATATTCAAGTCAGTGTTGTTTTCCTTTATCAAATTCTACTCTTATTCCATTTAAGAATATTCTATTTATGAATATCAAATTATTTTCACACAGCCACATAAACTGAAGTGAAAAAAGAGAAAAGATGACTTAGAAAAGGTACCAGATTCAGCAAAGGAACTAATGAACTAATTTAAGTTTCAGAATTCTAGTAGCTTTGTTAATAAATTATCAGGTTAAGCAAGTCTGTGAGAATTATTTAGATGCAATCAACTCTGAGACTAACAGATGCTATACAATATAGTGTGTCACAGTGAGATACATTTGAAAGTACATGACTTGATCCCATCATTCGTGGGGTTTATAATTACTTACATATATGAAAAATATGCAGAACTCTGTTCAACATGAAACAAACTACCAAACCAATGCCTATTACCCTCAAATGAGAGAAGGGAAGGACCTAAAGTGAACTCTAAGAAATGGTTACAATCCATATAAATCGAAAGGTCCTTTGGAGTATTGGATATTAACAAGAGCCCAAGTTGAGTTACCCTGTGGCCTTTATGGAGACTCAGAAGAAACTGCCCTAACTCAAGTTGGGAGTTGTTTGGGAACAACTGGGGAGACATGAACAGAGGGAAGAGCACCTTTTGAAAAGATGGCCTAGTGGGTGTGTGGATCTGGATAGCAAGAAAATACCTCAATTATGAGGTCACTGCAGTCTTCTAAGGGGGAGGTGAC